AATGCGCGGGCGGGCCCCGGCCGCGCGTGGGCGAGACGGTTACGAGGGCCCGCTGCGCCGGGAGCCGCCGCCCCCGCGCCGCGACCCCTACCTGGGCCCCCGGGAGGGTGGCTACTCGCCCCGAGACAGCTACTCGGGCCGAGACTACCCGAGCTCCCGCGACCCCCGGGATTTCGCTCCCGCGCCCAGAGAGTACACCTACCGCGATTACGGCCACTCCAGTGCTCGGGACGACTGTCCATCGAGAGGCTACGGCGACCGAGATGGCTACAGGGGTCGCGACCGTGACTACGCAGATCGCGACCGTGACTACGGGGATCATCCGAGCGGAGGCTCCTACCGAGACCCCTTCGAGAGCTACGGGGACCCGCGCAGCGCCGCTCCTGCGCGGGGGCCACCGCCATCTTACGGAGGAGGAGGCCGCTACGAGGAGTACCGGGGCTGCTCCCCCGACGCCTTCGGCGGCGGCCGCGACAGTTACGGCAGCGGCCGGAGCGACCGCTATTCGAGGGGCCGAGACCGTGTCGGCAGACCGGATCGCGGGCTCCCCGCGTCCATGGAAAGGGGGTGCCCTCCCCTGCGTGATTCCTACAGCCGTTCGGGCCGCAGGGCGCCCAGGGGCGGAGGCCGCCTAGGAGGGCGCTCGGAGAGAGGAGGAGGCCGGAGCAGATATTAAGCATAGACTTGGGACCAAAATCCGTTTTCAAAGAAACTAACGAAAAGAAGAACCCATTCTATGGTAACTACCCAAGGACTAGTACTAGGAAGAATTGTTTTTGCCTTTTGAATATTTCCTGTTAACTTCTTCTCCATAATTTTTTTGCTTTGGGGAGGAAAAAGTTAAAACTCGTTTAATTTCGTTTTGGAATTGTTAACGTTTCTTTCAACAAGCTCATGTTAAAAGTCTAAGACGAACCTGCGTACTAGTCTTCTTATATTTCCAAGTAGAAATTTTCCTAAAGGCTTCTTCCTTTCTAAATTTTCCTGATAAATGAGGCAAACAGTTCTAAGATCTTTCACAAATATCTCCCCACCTAAAATGGAAAAATGGATCATTCTGCCCATTTCAAATCAACTAAATTTTTGAGGGGGAGAGTGGGAGGGATTGGTCTTTGCTACTCTTAAGGTTTCAGGTGTCTTTCAAAGCGAATCTCAGTGTTCCCAGCATTAAAAGCCAACAACAGCAACAAAAACCTTTTAGATCACATATTTATGTAAAGAAAGTTCTATTCACTTGCTAAAACTTAAAAAGCAAATGGATAATGCTGGCCATATTTTGCCTTTTTGCTTTTTCTTTGGGAATCTGCAGAATCTCCTTCCCCTCAGTTCTCAAAATACCTTTCATTTGTTTCAAACAACGATGGAATACTAAATTAAAGATTTGGCCAACAACCACAGAGCTGCAAAAAACAAAACAAAATTAAAAAAAACAACCCAGAACATCAATTGGTAGCATTCATTTTCACTACCAACAAATTATTAAAAAAAACAAGTAGAAAATACACCAATGGTGGATTTAGGGATCATAATGGCTTCTATTCAAAGCTACTTGCCCTTGGCTGTACAGCCAGCTACCGGCTCCTGTGGAGAGAATTGGGCGTGTTCCCCCAGGGGTGAAGGAATCTAATGTGAACAGCTTCAGAGCTCAGAAGCAGAGGTCAGAGAATTCCTGAAAGAGCTTGTCATTTCGACCTCTAAGGATCTCAAACTGGTATGAAGGGGCTGGGTCTTTTTGTCCACAAAAGGCCAGGGGATGGTTGAGTGTTCCCTATTCTTAAGGTGGGGAGAAGGGCTTGAGAGAGAAAGATCAGAGAGTCTTCCTCCAGGATGTTTCAGGAGGGACATAACAATCACCTCTTTTCACCACAAGATTAGGGCAAGAGACACTTTTTCCATTCAGCACCTGTGGAATTCTCCAACCTACCTGAGAGGAAGGTAATTGTACAGCTTACTTTAGCATCCAGAGAAAAAATGATCAGTTTAAACTATTAAGACCCATGTTCAGTGTAATAAGTGCTGGAGGAAACGGATGAATACTTGAACAACAAAAAAAGTACTTAAAGAGATCTGAATGCAACACACTAACATACACAACTCTAAAGACATGACTTTTTGACAAAATAATTATGTGAATTACAGGAAAGGCCACACTAGCAGCCCTGAAGATCAAATGCAAAAAATAGCTTAAAAATATCCAAGAATTAATCTAGCAAAAACGTGTAAGACCTTAATGGAAAATTTTTAATCTTTATTAGAAGACATAAAAGAAGAACTGATAAATGGAGTTTCATATGTTCATGGTTGGGAAGACTTTATCATTACTATTCTCAACCTCACCAAATTAATTTGGAAAAACAATACAACTTCAAATGAAGTCACAACATGATTTTTTCTCACACAGCTCCCCTCCCCTCTTTCCTAATAACACAATTTATTTGTGTTGATCAACGATGGAATATTAAATAAAAGGTTTGGTAAACCAACCACAAAACAAAAGAAAAAAATTGATAGCTTGCTTCATTTCACCACCAACAAATTGTTAAGAAATTAGGTATTCTAAAAAAATAAAAGATACTAATGGGAGATGTAGCTAATCCTATAATGCATATGGTGAATGAACGGCCAAAGCAATGAAAAGCCAAAGCAATTGTGGAAAACAATAATTAGGAAGAACTTGCCCTACCAGATATCAAGACTTAACTACAAAGGTTTAGTAATTTAAACTGTGTGATATCGACAAGGATAGACAGACCAGTAAACCAAAATCGTGAGCCTAGAAACAGCCCACTTATATATGAAAACATATGACAGAGGTAGTTTTAAAAATCACTGGTGTAAAAATGGACTTTAAAAAAAAAATGACTATCTTTTTGCAAAAAAGAAAAAAAAATGAGATTCTCTAACAGCATACACAAAAATATAGTCTATAAATGATTTGAAAGTGTAAATGTGAAGAGGAAGTTTTCTAAACACTTAGAAGAAAATAAAGAAGAGACAAACACGGGTAAGAATTCCTTTTTAAGATATAAAACGCACAAACCTAGAAGGAAAACGATAAAATTTTCTACATTATTAAGATTTTTTTTATGACAAAAGACACTATTAACAGTGAAGTGTTAAACTGTAAATTGGAAGAATATATTAGCATTGAGTTAACTTCCAAAAGAATGCTTAGAAATCAATAAGAAAGAGAAAACAAAACAAAAAAGTGTGCAAAAGAACAAATATCTTTCTGTTAGATGTGTAAATTGACACAACCACTTTGGAAGTAATTTTGGCAATGCCTAGTAAAGATGGAGGGTGCATACCTTATGACCCAGAAATTTCATTTCAAGGAAAGGACTAAGAGAAACTTGCGCATGTACACAAGGAGATGAGCACATGATGGGTCCTTAAAGCACCCTTTGAATTTTAAAAAAGAAACAGCCTACCTGGAGTGGATCAACTGAGGCTTATTCTTATGAAGTTCAATGTAGAAGCTAATGACAACCAGATCCACATATATCAACATGGGTAAATATCAAACTAAGTAAGTATTTGGTGCAAACAGCAAATTGCATAAATATAGGTTTAGTAAAAAAAATATGGGAGTGATACACAAAAATCAGGACATTTAGTGTGAGGAGGAAAGGAGGCAATGGGGTGAGAAACGAGCTTTAGCTGAATCCGTAATGTCATTTCTTTAGAAGTGACAAATCGTAAGCAAAAAATGACAAGTTAAAGTCTTGCATATTTGGCCTGTACATTGGCAACTCATTATTCTAAGTTCAAAATATTTCATAATATAAATTTAAATATGAAAAATAGGGTTTAGCACAGCGCCCATCATATAACTACTCAAAAAATGTTTATTGTTATTTTGAAACTCTTTCAGATGCAACACTCTTATCTTGACAATGATTCTCCTTCCTGGCTTTGTTCTCTTATCAATATGGGTGATGCTTTATTCTAGTTGACTCACTTTCTAGAAGCTTCCTATTGTAGACTGCTTACAGCTGGCTCTCCATAACCTAAAGGGTAAAAGTTGCATATCTGAGAATCAAATGTTAGAGAAGGTGCAGTTTTTCCCTTTGACATTTGTTTTGAAATTAAAGCGTAATAGCAATGAAAAACTTTTTCCACATAACAAGAACCTATATCTGAACAGTGTTCTCATGAATATTGAACTATTTAGTAACTTTAAAAACAAAGAAGATACAAATATTTGGAAATAAAGACTCATCTGGAGCTTAGATGAATTTAAGAGATCATAGCATACAAAGGCTGGATTTCTCATGTACATTATATAATACAAGAGCCCCAATATTATTTTTACTGGAAATTATTAAAATTAGCTTTTTAGGAAAATATGCCAGAGGTCTAGTCAATTGAGAGCGCTTCTTTATGATCACTTTCATAATTATGAGAGAGAGCACATATCAGGTGTTTCCCAGGACTCACCCACTGAGTAAAATTTCAGGAATTTGCATCTCAACCAAAACCTTTAAATTTTCTGTCTTGGGCTTTTCTCAGCCTACCCCTGAGACCCCATCTCCTCCACATTTCTTCTGTTCAAAATGATTCCAGGAGCATCGAAACTATCCATGTGGCAACTGAAAGCATTATTGAACATTTCCCCAGTGGGTGAGGCTTAAACATCTTCCATTTCTGGTAACAATCTGAATCCTACTGTGGCTCCTGGGGCTATCTTAAAGAGTGCTGGAGGCAGAATTCTTTTTTCCTATAGGGTAATAGCTCCTTTTTCTCCATTGCCTCAGGCCAGATGAGATGGAGAAGATTTTTCTGCCTGTATCCCTTTGAACTGGGCCCTCTATTAACATTTCTTGGCCTTTAGATTAATGGTTTCCGTGCTGCTTCCCTTTTAACCTTCACCTTATAGGTGATGTGACTTTCCTTCTCTTCCTCCACAGGAATTTCCTTTTTTGGGGTCAGTTCTCATAAATGTTTTCCTAATTTGGGCATATTTAAGAACTCACCAAGCAGAATCAGGCTGTGTGGCTTTTGCTGTACGCACATTGAATCCAATGGTAGTGGGAATTCCTTTCGCTTATTCTATTTTCGTGAAGTTGATTCTGAAGCTCATTTCTCTTTCAGTGTAGTGCATTCCAAGAACGATTCAAAATTGATTCTGAGTCTAGATATTTTGTGGGTGATATTTAACGTGTAATCCAATGGTAGTGGGAATTCCTTTCGCTTATTCTATTTTCGTGAAGTTGATTCTGAAGCTAATTTCTCTTTCAGTGTAGTGCATTCCAAGAATGATTCAAAATTGATTCTGAGTCAATATTTTGTGGGTGATATTGAACGTGGGCATCAAGTGCAAAAAATTAACTCTAGAGAAACGTAGTAGTGGTGACCCTATTCATGCATCCCACTATCCATCATATTTATTAGAATGGTCAAGGAGAATAAAAACCTGATGACCTATTATAAAATTTTTAGGGAAAACATTAGGAAGAAGTAGTGAAGCTTCCCCATAATGTTTGGAGGCTACTTGTTATAGTAGAGAGATAATTAATCTTTTGGTCATATGTATGAATCTTCATTCTGTTACTATTATGTTACAAATAAATAGTGGTTTGGACAATTTTCTTTAAAAAATTTACCTTCATTTTTTTTTTTTCGTGTGTAAATGGTGATGATAATACCATTTCATAAAATTGGTGGAAGTTTTAAATAAGATGATGCTTATAAAATATCCAACACAGTACCTGGAATGCAGTGGGGTTCATTAAATGAAAGTACCATAGCATTCTGTATACCATAGTAGGACAGACTTTCCTTTGGAATTTATTGTTTCCATTCCCAGTAAAATTGTCTCTCTATTCAAAATCTTCAGAAAATTGAAAAGTTTTGTTGTATTTATTGAAGCTGTACTCACCAGCTTGAACCCTTGGAGACATATTTGACTTTTT